AGCTGCGCGCACACCCCCCCTCCAGCCTGCAGCTGGTCAACACCTGGCATTTCTGAGGGGGGAGGAGGGTTCTCCTCTGAGTGTTTCTTCTGAGGGGGCAGGGGAGGCAAGCCAGCCTCTTTGGTGGTACCATTTCCGGGGTGTGGGCCAGGGCGTGGTCCTGGGGAGGCTGCAATGGTGGGGCCAGTGGGTGGAGGGGGGGCTCATCCTTCCGCTCCTCTCCCCCGCGTCCCCGGCACCATTTGGGGCAGGTGGGCCACTTACTTGTCCAGTGGCCAGCAAAACAAAGCCCCATCCCCATCTAGACGCTCTCCTGCTGTGAGGCTGCCCCCAGAGATCACTCTGTAGTATAGCTGTCCTCCAATCAGTCCCCTTCCTTTCCATGCTACGGAAAACAATCCCATTCCAGGCACTTCCCATTTTCCTGGCACAACCAAACCTTGACCTTGTTTTAAGATATAAGAGGAAGCTGCATACCTAATTTGGTGGCCCTAGCTGTTGTTTAGGAGGAATTCTTGAACAAACATTTATAGACAGACAGACACAAACTCTCTCAAATGTGTATATATGACAAGCAAAGCATATTTAGTAGTTTCAGAATAGATCCAAAGAAGTGAATGGAAATGAAGTCTTTCTGCCTCTAGATGTCATGTCATTGCAGTGAAGATTGCACTGATGTTATGGTAACAAAGCCAAATGCCATTTTGTATGAAATATGGCATGTATTACTGTTGCTACTCTACCCATATTTTGTAAGGGAAGATGTTTTTCTGTATCTACTTTATTCCATTTTGGGAAGGGTGATAGCAGATTATCCTTTTCCTCCCTTACATTTATATTTCCCAGACAAAATATAACCCAAGGTTTAAAATTCAAGTCGTTTTTTTATTTTTAAGTTTCAGGTCTGGTATGACTTGTGCATCCGAATGTCTGACTGTTATGTAACCTCCCAAATAGGAACCAAATTATATTGTAAAATGTATACTCATTTTTTCAAAATCTTGTTTCACAGGCAACTATGGATATTCCAGGCCTAAACCTCAGTCAACAGGAGTACTACCCATATGTGTATTACAAGATTGATTGCAATTTGCTGGACTTCAAGTAAACCTTTCTTTATCCTGGCAATCCTCTTATAGTGTTGGTGTAAACAAACAGAAGTGAGGCTGAAGTACAATGATACTTCTAACACTGTTAGTCCTATGCTTGCTTCTTACTCCCTTTACTTAGGTGAATTTTGCCCATGGTGGTCCATCTCTTGTCATTTTCTTGTAAAGAAAAGGTATTACTGCTTTTAATCAATCAAGTCTGTAAATGTACATTGAGAGAATCAGAGTATTTATAAACAGAGTCATTTATTTAAAGAAAAGGGTAATTCCTCTTTCATATAGTGATCTGCATTAATTTCATTTACCGTTGTTCATAAAGACTTCGTTTACAAAGGAAGATAGTGTAAACATTTATGCCATTTTGTTCTCTGTATTTAGTAGATTCACAAGTATTAACGTTGTTGAATTGTGATGTAAAGTATGTGAGATTGATATACAGTCTGTGCTTTCAGAATATTTTAAATTACAGTTCACAAGCACTGTCAGAGAAAATAAAAATATCTGTGCAAATGTATGGTTCATTTCATTGTGATGCATAGAACTGTAGACGTCTACAGCCAAACATTACTACAGCTGATGTAAAGTTGTGATACATGCTTTAGATGACAGTATAGAAATGCAGCTTTCAGTTTAACAAATATTTGATGCGAGGTAAACTAAAATAAACACTTGCACTGTTGTGAGAAATACTGGAGCAGATTTTATTCCTATAATTCAAAGTTCCATACACAGACACATGCCCTGCACAGTCAGTGTGTGTGTGTGTGTGTGTGTGTGTGTGTGTGTGTGTGTG